GAAGACACAATGTTTCCTTGCCTCAGATCGATCAGCCAAGCCCGAGGCAACAAATTCAGGTTGATAAGCAAAGGACACCACGACACCCCGTATTCTGTTATAATTCACCTAGAGAAGAAATACGGCCTGAAGATATCAATGTTCCCAAATCTGAAAAGAGGAGTTTATTCTTACTTCTCGAAACACAGACTCCTATGAGGTACTGCAGAAGATAAACGTCCTGAAATCACCACTTGTCCTAACAGAACTGAAATCCATAGAGCAGGTAACAAAAGGCATACTTATGCGCTATGCACTAGACATGCCTCTCGATGCAATCCATATTAACAAAAACATTAAAAAGCTGAACGGCTCGGAGCCAAGAAGGACGGCAACGTACCTACAAGAAAGGTCTTGATCCAACATAGAGGCCTCTTTCCAGCTCAACTGGATCTCGGTTGCTGGGAAAAATACCAAGTTAGGACGAACAGCCCAGATCCTTGGAGCTGCTTCAGGTGCCAGAGGTATAACCATCTCAGCGCCCACTGTCGGTTTAAAGAAATATGCGGCATCTTTATAGGTCTCACCCAACCAAGGACTGCTTGGGTAAACTGAAGAGAGGTGAAACTACGGTACCTCGATGTCCGAACCGAGGCAAAAAGCATCATACCTGGAACCTGCTTCGTCCGAGAGGCTCCGCCATATCAGGGTAGCATGAAAAAGCACGGTTGTCCAGCCTCCAACATCAATTGGAGCAGCAGCCTCGTCCAGAGGAGGCTACAGTAACATGGAATCCAGGGACACTTCCCTGGCCACTGCGACGAAGGAAGCGGGGAAACATCAGCAACGTGGTCGCTCCTTTCTCCCTTTGCTCAAACTCCCACCCGACAGCGGCAGCCATCGAGTCCCATGCTGCAAGAGCAAGCTACAGCCAACGCACCAGCCCTAGCATCACAGCAGTTACAAGCGAGGAGCATTGTGGTCCAATAGAGCACAAGCAGGACATCCCCTATTACCCCTGAACCATCAAATGTTGTCTACAATCACATGTTTCACAGATATCAAATGCGACCTGATAGTCCCAGAAGAAAACAAAGAGACATTCAGAACTAGTTTGAAGATCGTCGTTAATATATGCATGATGGACAAAACAGAGTCCATGCATATATTTGCAAGTTTACTCGACCACCCAACACAGGCCGCAGAGACAATGATGGAGGCCCTGATGGACTCAGCCAACTGTCGTACATAAAATGTTTTGCGGTGGAACAAAGAGGGACTATAACAAGACCCTGATCGCGGTTCAGAACAGCAGAATTAGATCGACATCATCGAGATCCTCAGACAGGTCGTCTCTGAATTAAGATTCGTGTCAGGACGTAGCTCCTGACACGGATCCTGCCACATGGGCACACATGTTCTCTTGTCACATGGGTGGCAAGAGAATATGGGTGGCAATAGAACATGTGCGGCAAGAGAACATCGGCGGCAAGAGAACATGTGTGGCAATAGCACATGCGTGGCAAGAGAACATGGGTGGCAAGAGAACATGGGCGGCAAGAGAACATGGGTGGCAATAGCACATGCGTGGCAAGAGAACATGGGTGGCAAGAGAACATGAGTGGCAAGAGACCATGGGTGGCAAGAGAACATGGGTGGCAAGAGAACATGGGTGGCAAGAGAACATGGGTGGCAAGAGAACATGGTGGCAAGAGAACAGGGTGGCAAGAGAACATGGGTGGCAAGAGAACTGGGCGGCAAGAGAACATGGGCGGCAGGAGAACATGGGTGGCAAGTGAACATGGGTGGCAAGAGAACATGTGCGGCAAGAGAACATGGACGGCAAGAGAACATGGGTGGCAATAGAACATGCGTGGCAAAGAACATGGGTGGCAAGAGAACATGGCGGCAAGAGAACATGAGTGGCAAGAGACCATGGGTGGGAAGAGAACATGGGTGGCAAGAGACATGGGTGGCAAGAGAACATGGGTGGCAAGAGAACATGGGTGGCAAGTGAGAAACATGGGTGGCAAGAGAACATGAGTGGCAAGAGAACATGAGTGGCAAGAGAACCCTGGGTGGCAAGAGAACATGGGTGGCAAGAGAACATGGGTGGCAAGAGAACATGGGTGGCAAAGAGAACATGGTGGCAAGAGAACATGGTGGCAAGAGAACATGAGTGGCAAGAGACCCTGGGTGGCAAGAGAACATGGGGGGCAAGAGAACATGGTGGCAAGAGAACATGGGTGGGAAGAGAACATGGGCGCAAGAGAACATGGGGGGCAAGAGAACATGGGTGGCAAGAGAACATGGGTGGCAAGAGAACATGGGTGGCAAGAGAACATGGGTGGCAAGAGAACATGGGTGGCAAGAGAACATGGGTGGCAAGAGAACATGGGTGGCAAGAGACATGGGTGGCAAGAGAACATGAGGCAAGAGAACATGGGTGGCAAGAGAACATGGTGGCAAGAGAACATGGGTGGCAAGAGAACATGGGTGGCAAGAGAACATGGGTGGAAGAGAACATGGGTGGCAAAGAGAACATGGGTGGCAAGAGAACATGGGTGGCAAGAGAACATGGGTGGCAAGAGAAACATGGGGGGCAAGAGAACATGGGTGGCAAGAGAACATGGGTGGCAAGAGAACATGGGTGGCAAGAGAACATGGGCGGCAAGAGAACATGGGTGGCAAGAGAACATGGGTGGCAAGAGAACATGGGTGGCAAGAGAACATGGGTGGCAAGAGAACATGGGGCAAGAGAACATGGGTGACAAGAGAACATGGGTGGCAAGAGAACATGGGTGGCAAGAGAACATGGGTGGAGAGAAAGAGAACATGGGTGGCAAGAGAACATGGGTGGGAAGAGAACATGGGTGCAAGAGAACATGGGTGGCAAGAGAACATGGGTGGCAAGAGAACATGGTGGCAAGAGAACATGGGTGGCAAGAGAACATGGGGCAAGAGAACATGGGGGGCAAGAGAACATGGGTGGGAAGAGACAGGTCGATGCAGGGTGCAAGAGAAGAGCAAAAACTGGGTGGCAAGAGAACATGGGTGGCAAGAAACTGGGTGGCAAGAGAACATGGGTGGCAAGGAACATGGGGCAAGAGAAATTGAAGATATCATGGGTCAAGAGAACCCTGGGGAATAAATGTGCATATTATACTGGTGAAGAGAAATTGGGGGCAAGAAACATGGGTTGCAAGAGAAATGGGGGAAGAAACATCCAATAAAAATGGGTGGCAAGTGAACATTGGTAAATTACATGGCGCAATAGACATGTCATAAGAACATGGGTGGCATAGAGAACAAAGGTAAGATACAGGTGGCAATAGATAACATAGGTGGCAAGAGAACATGGTGGATAAACATGGGGGCAATAAACGTTGATGGCAAGAGATACATGGTGGCAAGAGAACATGGGTGGCAAAGAACATGGGTTGAAGAAAAATTGGTGCAAGGAACTGGTGTAAGAGAATATGGGAGGCAAGAGAACATGGTGCAAGGATCATGGGTGGCAGAGAACATTGCAAGAGAACATGGTTGGAAGAGACATGGTGCAAGAGAAATTGGTCAAGGGAACCGGGTGCAAGACGAAATTGGGAAGAGAACATGGGTGGCAAGAGCATGGGTGGCAAGAGACAGGGTGGAAGAGAACATGGGCAGAGAACATGGGTCAGAGTACAGTGGCAAGAGAACATGGCGTGCAAAAACATGGTGGCAGAGAACATTGTGGCAAGAGAAGGGGCACAAACATGGGTCAAACTGGAGCAGAAAATGGGTGGGGAGAAATGGTGGCAAACGCCATTTAAGAAACGGTTTGGCTAGAAGGACTTGAAAGAACCTGGAACGGCACATCTTGCAGAGATCATTGGTATTGGCAAAGCATGCTGCAAAGTATACATTCTTAAAATAATAAATTTTTAAAAAAATATTAATAAAAAAAAATTTAATTAAAAATAAAAATTTAAAATTTTTTAAGAAAACCCCTTTAATTTTTTTTCACTTCCCCCAGGATCGGTTTATTATTATTATTATTGCTATTTTTATTAGTATTATTTTCATTATTAATAATTATATGTTTTATTATTATTAATATTAGTTATTGTAATTATTATTATTATTATTATTATTATTTTTATTATTATTATTATTATTAATTTATTATTAATATTATTAAATTATATTGTTAATCATTATTATTTTCATTATTAATAACGATGTTATTATTAGTGCTTTTATTATTATTATTAGTAGTAATATTAATAGTTTAATCATTGTTTCCATTATTGTCATTAATAATACTATTAATATGGGGATTGCGCTAAACTCGTATGAGGTTATGCAAATCTTCGGCGGTAAGGGAGGCATAACCGCGATTGATTCAAGGAAGCAGGAAGAGGTAACTCCAATTCCTTGGATCAGGAGTCCCGTTTCCAGCATCACTAGCTTGAAAGTGTAGCTCTTAGAGTTTTGGATCCAAGAACTGGAGCTCAACCCAAAAGCAGGAGTAACTAAGAGAGCACAACTGCTTGAGTAATGAGGGGGGAGAAGTAAGGAATGGATGACACATGCGGGTTTAGCGCTTCAGTGCCGATTATACAGTGAACACAAAATATCTTTAAAGCTTATTACGTCACTTGTGACGTCAAAGCAGCGCGTCACATCCGTCATCATCGCGTCATCTGTGACGCAATAATGACGGTGGTGACGTCATATTAATGTGCCACATCCGCCATCATTACATCATATATACAAACACTGATCTCTGGCTGAAGGAGACTCGAACCTACGAACCTTGGAACGAGGTCCGAGTCTCCTTCAGCCAGAGATCAGTGTTTGTGTATTTCGCCTGCTCTTGCGAATTCCTTGCACATATATATATATATATATATATATATATATATATATATATATATATATATATATATATATATATATATATATATATATATATATATATATATATATATAATATTTTAAATGTTATATTCATTGATATTTGTTTTCTACTTCCGCAGGCATCGACTTCCCCGTCTGACTCTCGTCTCTACACTCTACCAGTCAAGCACAGTCTACCAGTCAAGCACAGTCTACCAGTCAGCTAAAAATCTACCGGAGGCTACTGGAAATCTCGGCCAGTTTTCTCGCACCTGGACCAAAAAAATCAACCAAATTTAAACCAGAGAGTTTGCCGAAAGTGCCTCTTCTAAGGAGTTGACTAACTAACCTCTTACAAAAATAATTCAAATTGACTTTTGAAAAGCACTTATAAGAAAGTGAAAAAGGAGGCTCTTGTGCCTGAGACATTAGTTCCTTTTTCTGCCTGTGTGTTTTTAGTGTAATCATAATGGTTTAGAGTATTCATGTTATGTATACACTGCATTCAGCATTCCGTTTGTTTTGTTTATTATACACCTAAAATTGTTTCAGTTTGCTCTGTTTTTGTTTATATTTTAATAATGATTATAACTTTAGGTATATTATGTATACGTATATTTATGTATATTATTTAGATGTATTAGTATTCATTTAGCGTTTCTGAAGTATACTTTGGATTTTGCAGGTGTTCTTTAGGTCTGGTTTTTATTCGTATGCTCTTCCTTCAAGGCTTAAAGATTTTTTCGTGTGTAAGATTCCTGTTTGTCTGTCAACAGTTGTGTGGGGAATGATCTGTTGAGATTATCAGTACTCGTGTGCCTCAGTGTATGTGTGGGAGACTTAGTTCCGAGGACGCTGCCGGAGGCAGTTCTTGTTTGATCTGGAAGTTTAGCATTTGAAATTCCCTTCTTCAGGAGGCTTTTCAGGTTTGTCATCACTCCAAAATGTGGTGACTCCTGCAGCGTCAGTTGCCTCACGAGTGGGGGATCTGTCTTGTTCGGTTCCTTCGACTCATCCCACTTCAGGGTGGTGTCTGCACTCTGTATGTTGAGCTGTGGTAAACTTTGTAACAATGTCGTTCTTGTTGCACTTCAGTAACTATCTCATTGGTGGTAATGTGCCTATTGATGATGGTGTGGACAAACTCAATCGCAAGTACACAATTCTTATACTCATCTGTCTGTCACTGCCGTTAGTCACCAAGCAGTTCGCTGGTGACCCCATAGAGTGTTTCACCCCGACGTACTTCACAGAGCCACAAGCTAGGTACGTCAACTCGTACTGCTGGACGGCGAGCACGTATTATATCATCCCGGTGGATGAGAACGCTAGGGAGCAAGTCACCAGAGTTCACTCTGTGAATTTTGATGACGAAGGTGGCTCGACTGCCATCAAGGGGGAGCGTATTAAGGTCAACTACTACCAGTGGGCCCCTATCATTTTGCTGGTTGAGGCGGGATTATTCTACGTTCCTTTTGCCATTTGGAATTCGACAGCTAAAAACTCAGGCATTAAAGTAGGTCGGCTCTTGAAAAAAGTGTCTGTGATCTCTCAGTACACACCCGGCCACCCAGACCGCGACGCTCTTATTGCCGAGTTCCTGGACCAGTTTAACACGCTGATGGGCGTCTCAAAGTGCTGTCCAGGAACCGTCTGTAAGTTCGATTGCAATCTGGCTTGCGGCGGGAATCCCTCGTCTTCGCTGTTCGTGCTCTACATGGTCGTCAAGATCATGTACGTCTTCAACATCCTGATGCAGTACTTCCTGCTCACGGTATTTCTGGGAAAGGGCTATCTCTTCCACGGCATCGAAGTGGTGGAGAAGCTCATCAACAAAAAAGAATGGTGGACATCGCCGCGTTTTCCTCTGCAAACACTGTGTCAGGTCCTGGCTGCCCAGCAAGGGTCCCTCCGTACCTATACTTGCCAGTGTGTGCTCCCAATAAACCTTTTTAACGAGAAAATCTTTTCGTTCATCTGGTTTTTCTTCGCCATTCTATTGCCGGTAACAATCTACAGTGCACTGATTTGGGTGTGGCGGACTTTCACCTGTTCACGCATTGCTTTCGTGCACTATTATCTGTGGCGGACGAGGCGTGTGGGAAAGGAGGATTTGTATAACAATGCTCGTAAGATGGCGGTGCAGTACCTGGGTTGGGACGGGTGCCTGGTTCTACGCCTGATAGAGATGAATCATGGTGGTACCATTCTCACGGTGCTCACAGAGCGACTCTGGGAGTTCTATGAAGGTATGGAGAGGGCTCAACAGGATGGCGGAGACCCAGAGGCCTATCTAAGTCAAAGGCCTCCACTCTTCGCTTGCGGTCCTTACCCTCCGCCGGGCCCCTCCACCGTCACACCTACGCCTACGGGGGCTTATGGCTTTTACGGAAAGCACTTCCTGCCGGGAACGCCATCAGCATACCCTGGTTACATGTGGAACCACCAAGACCTGGCAACGCCTGCTTACTCGGGCTACCCCAGGATACGTGGCAAGATCAGGTAACGCTCTACATCATGTGCCTAAAGCCCCCAACTGCCCCTGTACACGACACCCAGTGGTGCTAGGGTCACCACTTAACCTTGTACACGGCGCCCACTGGTGCTTGGATCACCACCTGCCCCTGTACACGGGGCCCAGTGGTGTTTGGATCACCATTTGCCCTTGTACACATTCTTTAATAACATGTTGATTTTTATCCGGGTTTGTCGACGAAAAAGAAAAGCAGTTTGGCATGTAACTACTGTTCGTTTCCTCTAAAGTCATCCGCAGTTCGTCGATTTAATCATCATCACTGCCGCTGAAATATTTAGAATGGTTGATTTTGCATAACCTCATCACATAAATCACAGTCTTATGCATTCCCACTTGAGATGCAGCACAGTAATCCTCAATCAGTGGTGTTAGTAAGAGGTGCTCTTCTAGCAAAGACGATAATTTATCTCATTAAATATCAATGCTTTTTTCTTCCTCTGGAATGTTAGACAACAGAAAATTTAGTTCAGTGTGAAAACAAGACAGTTTTCGTTCGCTCCGTAATAATGGGACGCTTTGGAATTAAACAATTAATCGGATATTTTAGCGGCATATATTCATCCCTGCCTGCCATTGTAAAGCCAACTAGCTTTAGATTGGCAGGTGGGTTTGTAGGGATAAAATTACAGTGACGTGTATTTGCAAAAATCCCATCGATATAATCATTCTGGTTTAGTATGGAAAAAATAATGGTATGCTTTACCAATTGACTTTCTTTAAAAAATTACATTTTTTTGTGGTATGTTGTCCTCTTAGTAACACAGTTCCGTACCCGTATACAGCAGACCTAAAATATAAACAAATGAATGTATCTCTTGCCTTCACACGCTACAGCACGAAACGGACCTGTGTGTTGCCCGAGTGTTGACTGCCAGATATAAATATTAAAAAAAAAAAACACTCGTTTGTGTATATAGTTTACCCGTTCCGTGCAGCAGTGAGTGTGGCTACACTCATACGAGAAAGTAATTAGCAATCGTCAAACCATCAGCCACAGCAACCTGGGATATCCCAAGTTACTTGGCAGTGTTCCTCCAACTACACTACCTCCTATCAGAGTCATATGATAAAAGGAAATGTCAGTTAATGTGGAAAAGAACTCAATCGGAAACATTGGATGATAATTAACAATAACATAAATAATGGAAAGGCAAAAGTGAACAAGGTGAAGAGAGAAGAAATTTTCTCATAATTCTTTACACAGTCGTAGTGCTTGAGATTAGTTGCATGTGCAGGAAACGTTGATTTGTTGCAAAATCTTAGTCGAGGTTTAATTTGAAGAATTACGAGGTGCTTACTATATGCCAAATTAAGGGAACTTAAGTTGTTCCACCTTGATATAAACAACTGGAAGGGGTGGGTAGTGTCGCTATATTCTGAGAAAACTTGGAATGCTTCATAAATCCAAATGTAAAGGCCGAGGAAGCAACACAGACTCTGGGTGGAAGTTCTAGAAAGACTTGAAAAGTTGATTTTAGGTGTTATTCTGACCAGTGAGTTGGAAAGCCACCAAGGGACACTTGTTGGGGAAGAAATAATGAAGACTTCATGGTCACTCAAAGACAAGGGATTTAAATTTTATCCATATTAACTGAAAATGCTTTGCCTGGTAATTTACAGCCCGATGAAATAAGTAGTGCAGCACTGCTTTCTTGAAGCAGTCTGTAACAGAACAACCTGCTTGACCTGGTTTTGGAATGCAAGAACACCAGAGTAAGTAATCAAGAGTCCACATAAAACCATGGCACAAGAGCTCACAAACCTGCCACTTTTAATATTAACTGGCGTATAATAATAATAATACAGTAAAGATCTCGGATTTTCGCTCTGAAGATAATGGAGGAACTTGTCCAGCAGCGACTGGGGTTCCCTGGCCACTGACTGTATCCATGATCTTACAAACAGTAACAAAGCGAACTGCAATATGACATTAATGTACGAGTTGCTTAAAGTGCATATATTCCTCAGAGTCAAATTTCATTATATATATGTATATATATATATATATATATATATATATATATATATATATATATATATATATATATATATATATATATTATATATATATAATATATATATATATATATATATAGGAGTAAAGCAGGAGAGTAAAGCATCTCCTGGGAAACAAGAGAGGAATCTACAGACGCATCAAAAGGGAAGGTCAGCACCTTACGAACCAACATGTTCATACTAAAACAGAATAAAAAAAATGTGATAAGAAAAGTTAAGCGAGACTGTAAATGGCAAAGTTACAATTGAATCAAAGATAAATCCGAAAGGGATTTTTTCCCACTGTTTCATGGATCCATTACTTCCTCTTCACTGATTCAGTTTATAAGTCGTCTTTCTCATGTCTCCGTATTAGATTAGTAAAGCCGATGGTGGGCGAAATGTCTCTCAAATAAAGATACCCAGATGTTGTAATTGTGTCTTATTCATCAAGCTTGTGATTGGTGGATACTTTCAATGTTTCCCTATCCAGAAGACTTGTTGTCGATCACAGACCCAATTTCTCTTCCAGTCATCGGGTTTGGGGGATACCGATGTTTCTCTGGTTGTTGTTGCTGTTGCCACTATGGTCTCTGTTGTTTTGCAACAGAGGCTGCAGTAGTCATAACGATCACTTCTGCGGACAGTGATAGTGTGCCAGGGGCACACAAGAAGGGCGTATTCGGGCTGAGGCACAGGGCAATTAAAACGCAAAAGCATATGTAATTGTCTGTGTCTGGAGGCATAACATCATCTCTAGCACTGTGACTACCGGCTGTGCCACACGGCATCTCAGCTCTCAGTCCCGGGGTCTTATCCTTCAAAGACACTGCCATTCTTGGTATATGAAATTTCTTGCAAATCGTTCATTCATATTTTGGGGAACTTATCGAGGAATAGCTTCATCTTAAGGAGCAGCTCTGTAAAGGAAGAGCCTCACCCTGACCAGGGAGCTTATATAAGGGTGTCGGACTTTCCCAGACGCCATCTTTAATATATAGAGAAGTGCTGGTTCGAAGGGAGGGTGTTGGGAGTAAGATAAGGGTGGAGGAGCGGTACCAGCCTCCCCTCCCATCTCAAACACCCCCAGCAAGAGAGGGTGTTTGAGTGGGGAGAGGATGGAGGGGGGTTGAGGGTGAAGATGGCTTGGGAGGTGCGCCTGCCATCGTAAATCCGGAAACATTTTTCACATTATTGGAAATCTGCGAACTCGCTTATTTGGCTCCCTTAACGGTCGACATGAACAAATATTGAGTCGAAACTGTGCTGAGACTCTTCTTACGTATTGTCTTAACGACGTAGATGATTCTCTTGTGTCTTTCGTTAGAGTATAACGAATACCGTAGCGTTGATTTTTATCCTTTCGTCTGGCATATGAATATAATCTTTAACTCAAATTATGTTTATACAAATTACTCTGATGAATATGTTTTGTTTTTCAGGCTTGGTTTAATGAATATAAATTTTAGTACTTTTTTATGCGCTTGATGTCGGGGTCGTGGTTGATATATCATTGATGTAGTCAGTAATGTTAACTGTTTCAGTGTCACTTGCTTCTTATTCACCTAAATGAAATGTATGTTGACAGTCATTGTCGTGGCTCCTTGTAAAAGCAGCTGTATGACCAGTCACAGCAGCTGTATGACTAGTCACAGCAGCTGTATGACTAGTCACAGCAGCTGTATGACTAGTCACAGCAGCTGTATGACCAGTCACAGCAGCTGTATGACTAGTCACAGCAGCTGTATGACTAGTCACAGCAGCTGTATGACCAGTCACAGAAGCTGTATGACCAGTCACAGCAGCTGTATGACTAGTCACAGCAGCTGTATGACTAGTCACAGCAGCTGTATGACTAGTCACAGCAGCTGTATGACCAGTCACAGCAGCTGTATGACTAGTCACAGCAGCTGTATGACTAGTCACAGCAGCTGTATGACCAGTCACAGAAGCTGTATGACCAGTCACAGCAGCTGTATGACCAGTCACAGCAGCTGTATGACCAGTCACAGAAGCTGTGTGACCAGTCACAGCAGCTGTATGACCAGTCACAGCAGCTGTATGACCAGTCACAGCAGCTGTATAGCCAGTCACAGCAGCTGTATGACCAGTCACAGCAGCTGTATGACTAGTCACAGCAGCTGTATGACCAGTCACAGCAGCTGTATGACCAGTCACAGCAGCTGTATAACCAGTCACAGCAGCTGTATAACCAGTCACAGCAGCTGTATAACCAGTCACAGCAGCTGTATGACCAGTCACAGCAGCTGTATAACTAGTCACAGCAGCTGTATAACCAGTCACAGCAGCTGTATAACCAGTCACAGCAGCTGTATAACCAATCACAGCAGTTGTATAACCAGTCACAGCAGCTGTATAACCAGTCACAGCAGCTGTATAACCAGTCACAGCAGCTGTATGACCAGTCACAGCAGTTGTATAACCAGTCACAGCAGCTGTATGACCAGTCACAGCAGCTGTATAACCAGTCACAGCAGCTGTATAACTAGTCACAGCAGCTGTATAACCAGTCACAGCAGCTGTATAACCAGTCACAGCAGCTGTATAACCAGTCACAGCAGTTGTATAACCAGTCACGGCAGCTGTATAACCAGTCACAGCAGCTGTATAACCAGTCACAGCAGCTGTATGACCAGTCACAGCAGCTGTATAACCAGTCACAGCAGCTGTATAACCAGTCACAGCAGCTGTATAACCAGTCACAGCAGCTGTATAACCAGTCACAGCAGCTGTATAAACCAGTCACAGCAGCTGTATAACCAGTCACAGCAGCTGTATTAACCAGTCACAGCAGCTGTATAACCAGTCACAGCAGCTGTATAACCAGTCACAGCAGCTGTTATAACCAGTCACAGCAGCTGTATGACCAGTCACAGCAGCTGTATAACCAGTCACAGCAGCTGTATAACCAGTCACAGCAGCTGTATGACCAGTCACAGCAGCTGTATAACCAGTCACAGCAGCTGTATAACCAGTCACAGCAGCTGTATAAACCAGTCACGGCAGCTGTTATAACCAGTCCACAGCAGCTGTATAACCAGTCACAGCAGCTGTATAACCAGTCACAGCAGCTGTATAACCAGTCACAGCAGCTGTATGACCAGTCACAGCAGCTGTATAACCAGTCACAGCAGCTGTATAACCAGTCACAGCAGCTGTATGACCAGTCACAGCAGCTGTATGACCAGTCACAGCAGTTGTATAACCAGTCACAGCAGCTGTATGACCAGTCACAGCAGCTGTATAACCAGTCACAGCAGCTGTATGACCAGTCACAGCAGCTGTATAACTAGTCACAGCAGCTGTATAACCAGTCACAGCAGCTGTATGACAAGATATAATGGAACTATCCCAGTGTAAATCAGATTAACCTTAACACCAACAGAATTCCAGTTCAGCCAAGCTCAGTGAACTTGCGGAATAAAGAGTTTGATCAACAATTTCCATACATCAGCAACATTTAGGTGTGTTACAAGTGTATATGAAGACACACAAGCCAGAAGTTCCTTCACGTCACGAGGCATAAGAGAAGACATTATCTTTCTTCATAAGGCCCGTGGAAAGAAATTATTTTTCTTCATGGGGCCAATGAGAATAAACTTTTTTAATGAGGCTTCCTAGAAGCTCTCACTTGAAGAGGAATACTGGAAGAAATTCTTTATTTTTGAAGGCTAGGCAGATGAGATTTTCTCACTTGATGGTGAGGAAAGAGGGCAAGTGTTTCCTGACGCTAGTCTTAGTCATATGATGACCCACAGCGCCTTTAACCCGTCTTCTTCTCGGCCTATATAAGGAAAATAAACTCCTACTCTAGCTCAGAGTGCAACGGACAAGTGAAGCAACACACACAGCAAGAGGCATTCTTAAGCTTCCCCAGCGCTCGGGTTTAATGCCCAAAGCTAGGATGTGACTCCAAAAGGATCCTGTAGTGTTTGCTGCTTTTGCACCTCCTGACATCGTCTGCTGCTATGCAGCTGCCACACCCTTCGAGCCCAGTGTGGGCGGGGTTTGTGGCAGTTCAGAGTGCCTAACTTCTCCATCCAAGCCCCGTGGGGGCAGAGAATGAGGCTAGGCCTTTGGACAACTGGTTCCAGAAGACGAGGAGGTATTTGTACCTCCTCCCATGGCAGACATTCGTCTGAGACACTCCTCGACAGGGAACCAAGGCCGGGCCACATCTTGGAAAAGGCCTTGGCCGGGCGTTTATACCAGCGAATCTGCTACCTACCTACCTACCTCCATGAAACAACCACTCATCGAGGTGCAGAGTTGTCTAGTTCATCATGAAAAAATTACAAGTAACGTGCATCTCCCAGCGGCTGATGACAGGCTAACCTGTTGTTGTTGTTGTAGATTCGCCAGTATAATATCCTGGCCCGGGCCTTTTCCAAGAGGCGGCACAGCCTTGGCTCCCTGTCGTGGGAGTTTCTCAGACCAATGTCTGCCATGGGAGGGGGTACAAGTACCTCCTTGTCTTCTGGGACCAGCTGACCCCACGCCTAGCCCATTACCCACCCCTATGGGGCTCGGAGAAAGAAGCTAGGCACCTTGGGCTGCCACAAACCCTGCCCACACTGGGTTTGAAGGGTGTGGCAGCTGCATAGCAGCAAACGATGTCAGGGGGTTCAAAGGCAGCAAGCACTAAGCACTACAGGATCCTTTTGGAGTCACACCCCAGCTTTGGGCATTAAGCCTGAGCGCTGGGGAAGCTCAAGAATGCCTCTTGCTGTGCGTGTTGCTGCTGATACTACTACACTTGTCCGTTGCAGTCTTATCTGGCTAACCTGGAGCCTTGTTAGCTAAATACAGTTTGTTCAACTTCTTCTTTGTAGATTCACCGGTATAATCGCCTGTCCTGGGCCTTTTCCAGGTGGTGGTTAGGCCTTGGCTCCTTTTTGCTGGAGTGTCTTAGACCAATGTCTGCCATGGAAGGAGGTACAAGTACTTCCTCGTCTTCTGGGATTAGC